CAAGCCGCCCACTCGGTGTTTGCCATCGGGGTTGGGTTTTCGTCGCTTGGCAACGACGTTGTAAAACAAGCCAATTCACTTCGTGAACTCGACAACCAGGTTACCGTTTTTTTTTTTTTACCTCGGTTTTTTTTTTTTGGCGGTAACCATACTGGTGGTCGAGTAGATCATGTTGTGCGGGGTCGAGAAACCTCACTCCGCGCAACGGGGGATGATCGCACCACGTTGTGTGAAAATGGTCAAGCTTCCTCGAGGCAGTTACACAGTGCTTATAACTGTCTCTGGAAGTGAAAGCACAAGAAAATCAATTAAGTCATACGCAGCTGTCATCCGTACGCAAGGAAGTAAGCACAAGATGCCGAACACCCTTAGCAGGATGCAGCTCACCCTTCATGCGACTCGCCAAATACCTCACGGCGCTTCGCGCTTGGTGATGTGAGCGCCTGGTCCGGTGAGAACCCGGCGTGCTCCGTCCCGGCTTTGTAGGGATGCGAGGTCAATGGTCTAACGACTACGGCATGCACGACTATGAGTACACCCCCCCCCATCCCCACAGCAGCCGGAGTAGCTCAGTCGGTAGAGCGCAAGACTCTTAATCTTGTGGTCGAGGGTTCGAGCCCCTCCTTCGGTGCTCTTTTAACCCCCCACCCGGTTTATGCCATCGGGGTTTGGGTTTTCGTCGCTTGGCAACGACGTTGCAAAACAAGCTCCCCCCTCGGTGTTTGCCATCGGGATTGGGTTTTCGTCGCTTGGCAACGACGTTGTAAAACAAGCTAATTCACGTAAACTCGGCAACCAGGTTACCGGTTTTTTTTACCTCTTTTTTTTTTTTTGGGATAACCAAATGGTGGTCGAGTAAATCATGTTGTGGGGGTTGGAAAACCTCCACTCCGCGCAAGGGGGATGATCGCACCACGTTGTGTTAAAATGGTCAAGCTTCCTCGAGGCAGTTACACAGTGCTTACAACTGTCTCTGGAAGTGAAAGCACCAGAAAGTAAATTAAGTCATACGTAGCTGTCATCCGTACGCAAGGAAGTAAGCACAAGATGCCGAACACCCTTAGCAGGATGCAGCTCACCCTTCATGCGACTCGCCAAATACCTCACGGCGCTTCGCGCTTGGTGATGTGAGCGCCTGGTCCGGTGAGAACCCGGCATGCTCCGTCCCGGCTTTGTAGGGATGCGAGGTCAATGGTCAAACGATTACGGCATGCACGACTATGAGTACACCCCCCCCCCCCGGTGTTCGCCATCGGGGTTTGGGTTTTCGTCGCTTGGCAACGACGTTGTAAAACAAACCGCCCACTCGGTGTTTGCCATCGGGGTTGGGTTTTCGTCGCTTGGCAACGACGTTGTAAAACAAGCCAATTCACTTCGTGAACTCGGCAACCAGGTTACCGTTTTTTTTTTTTACCTCGGTTTTTTTTTTTGGCGGTAACCATACTGGTGGTCGAGTAGATCATGTTGTGCGGGGTCGAGAAACCTCACTCCGCGCAACGGGGGATGATCGCACCACGTTGTGTGAAAATGGTCAAGCTTCCTCGAGGCAGTTACACAGTGCTTATAACTGTCTCTGGAAGTGAAAGCACAAGAAAATCAATTAAGTCATACGCAGCTGTCATCCGTACGCAAGGAAGTAAGCACAAGATGCCGAACACCCTTAGCAGGATGCAGCTCACCCTTCATGCGACTCGCCAAATACCTCACGGCGCTTCGCGCTTGGTGATGTGAGAGCCTGGTCCGGTGAGAACCCGGCGTGCTCCGTCCCGGCTTTGTAGGGATGCGAGGTCAATGGTCTAACGACTACGGCATGCACGACTATGAGTACACCCCCCCCCATCCTCACAGCAGCCGGAGTAGCTCAGTTGGTAGAGCGCAAGACTCTTAATCTTGTGGTCGAGGGTTCGAGCCCCTCCTTCGGTGCTCTTTTAACCCCCCACCCGGTTTATGCCATCGGGGTTTGGGTTTTCGTCGCTTGGCAACGACGTTGCAAAACAAGCCCCCCCCTCGGTGTTTGCCATCGGGATTGGGTTTTCGTCGCTTGGCAACGACGTTGTAAAACAAGCTAATTCACGTAAACTCGGCAACCAGGTTACCGGTTTTTTTTACCTCGTTTTTTTTTTTTGCGGTAACCAAATGGTGGTCGAGTAGATCATGTTGTGCGGGGTCGAGAACCTTCACTCCGCGCAAGGGGGATGATCGCACCACGCTGTGTTAAAATGGTCAAGCATCCTCGAGGCAGTTACACAGTGCTTACAACTGTCTCTGGAAGTGAAAGCACCAGAAAGTAAATTAAGTCATACGCAGCTGTCATCCGTACGCAAGGAAGTAAGCACAAGATGCCGAACACCCTTAGCAGGATGCAGCTCACCCTTCATGCGACTTGCCGAATACCTCACGGCGCTTCGCGCTTGGTGATGTGAGAGCCTGGTCCGGTGAGAACCCGGCGTGCTCCGTCCCGGCTTTGTAGGGATGCAAGGTCAATGGTCTAACGACTACGGCATGCACGACTATGAGTACACCCCACACACACACACACACACTCCGGCGTCCGGCCGTAGAAACAACGCAGCAATATCGTTTGTGACTCGTGGAGCACATCTCACCAACAGCTGCGCGTGAAGCTCGACTTCCCCCTCCGTCCGAATCAAGGCCAGCTTCAGCGCCGACACCGTCTCGCGCGCGACCATCAGCGCCTCGCGGGTGTCCCCCCGCGCGTGAAGATCCGCGACCCGACCTTCCATCTCCGCCAGGACCGCGCTCTCG